GGGTTAAACTCCAGAAGCCAGTTGTTGGACCAGGCTTGCAGCCTGTCCAGATCAATCTGTAGTCCGACCTGATCCTCACCCACTTGCATTCCTCGCATAAGCTTCACATCGTCTGCAAACAGGGACACCTCTGAATGTATCCCTCCCGTCATTCACATATACCCAGGACTGACCCTTGTGAACTCTCCTAGTTACAGGCGCCCACTCTGACACCTCGTCACGTACCATCACTTGTTGTTTCCTTCCTGTCAGGTATTCTCTGATCCATTGCAATGCCTTACGTGTTATTCCTGCTTACTCCTCTAGCTTTTACATTAATATCTTGTGCGGAACTGTGTCGAATGCCTTCTTGCAATCCAAGAAAATGCTGTTTTCCCCCTGAATCCCTCTCTCTCTCTCTCTCCTGTCTAACTTCTGTCACCTTGTAGTAAAAATCCAGTAGGTTTTTAACGCAGGATTTCTTCTCCCTGAAGCCGAGCTGGTTATCATGTATAATTTCATTACTTTAAGTGTGTGTGTGTATGTGTGTGTATGTGTGTGTATGTGTGTGTGTGTGTGAAAAGAGAGAGAGAAAAAATGAAATGGTAATAATAGTCTCTTGTTTGAATTGTGGGGAGAAATATGCACTTGTCAATACCAGCGAGATTCTTCCATTTAGAAACTGATCAAACGGAAGGTTTAGTGGTATAGATACAATGGAATATATATATATATATATATATATATATATATATATATATATATATATATATATATATATATATATATATTATATATATACATATATACATATTATACATATATACATATATATCATATATATACATATATACATATATATACATATATATACATATATATATACATATATACATATATTATACATATATACATATATATACATATATATATATATACATATATACATATATATACATATATATACATAAATATACATATATTATATACATATATATACATATATATACATATATATACATATATATAATATATACATATATACATTTATATACATATTACATATATACATATATATACATATATATATATATATATATATATACATATATACATATATATACATATATATAAATATATATATAAATATATACAAATATATTTACATATATACATATATATACATATATTATACATATATACAATATACATATATATACATATATATACATTATATACATATATATACATATATACATATATATACATATATATACATATATACATATATATACATATATATATACATATATACATATATATATATATATATATATATATATATATACATAAGCCATGCGTGTCGTATGAGGCGACTAAAATGGCGGGAGCAATGGGCTAGTAACCCTTCTCCTGTAGACATTTACTAAAAAAAGAGAAGAAGAAAACTTTATAAAACTGGGATGCTTAAATGTGCGTGGATGTAGTGCGGATGACAAGAAACAGATGATTGCTGATGTTATGAATGAAAAGAAGTTGGATGTCCTGGCCCTAAGCGAAACAAAGTGAAGGGGGTAGGGTAGTTTCAGTGGGGGGAATAAAATGGGATTAAATCTGGGTATTTGAGAGAGTTAGAGCAAAGGAATGGGGTAGCAGTAATGTTAAATGATCAGTTATGGATAAGGAGAAAAGAGAATATGGAACTGTGTAAATTCAAGAATTATGTGGATTAAGTAAGGTTTGATGCGAGAAGTGGGTCAAATAAGCGTGTATGCACCTGGAGTAGAGAGGAATGCAGAGGAGAGAGAGAGATTTTTGGGAGATGTTAAGTGAATGTATAGGAGCCTTTGAACAAGTGAGAGAAGTAATTGTGGTAGGGGACTGAATGCTAAAGTAGGGAGAAACTTTTAGAGAGGGTGTGGTAGGTAAGTTTGGGGGTGCAGGTGTAAATGATAATGGGAGCCCTTTGATTGAACTTTGTATAGAAAGGGGTTTAGTTATAGGTAATACATATTTAAGAAAAAGAGGATAAATAAGTATACAAGATATGATGTAGGGCGAAATGACAGTAGTTTGTTGGATTATGTATTGGTCGATAAAAGACTGCTGAGTAGACTTCAGGATGTACATGTTTATAGAGGGGCCACAGATATATCAGATCACTTTCTAGTTGTAGCTACACTGAGAGTAAAAGGTAGATGGGATACAAAGAGAACAGAAGCATCAGGGAAGAGAGAGGTGAAGGTTTATAAACTAAAAGAGGAGGCAGTTAGGGTAAGATATAAACAGCTATTGCAGGATAGATGAGCTAATGAGAGCATAGGCAATGGGGTCGAAGAGGTATGGGGTAGGTTTAGAAATGTAGTGTTAGAGTGTTCAGCAGAAGTTTGTGGTTACAGGAAAGTGGGTGCAGGAGGGAAGAGGAGCGATTGGTGGAATGATGATGTAAAGAGTAGTAAGGGAGAAAAAGTTAGCATATGAGAAGTTTTTACAAAGTAGAAGTGATGCAAGGAGGGAAGAGTATATGGAGAAAAAGAGAGGTTAAGAGAGTGGTGAAGCAATGTAAAAAGAGAGCAAATGAGAGAGTGGGTGAGATGTTATCAACAAATTTTGTTGAAAATAAGAAAAAGTTTTGGAGTGAGATTAACAAGTTAAGAAAGCCTAGAGAACAAATGGATTTGTCAGTTAAAAATAGGAGAGGAGAGTTATTAAATGGAGAGTTAGAGGTATTGGGAAGATGGAGGGAATATTTTGAGGAATTGTTAAATGTTGATGAAGATAGGGAAGCTGTGATTTCGTGTATAGGGCAAGGAGGAATAACATCTTGTAGGAGTGAGGAAGAGCCAGTTGTGAGTGTGGGGGAAGTTCGTGAGGCAGTAGGTAAAATGAAAGGGGGTAAGGCAGCCGGGATTGATGGGATAAAGATAGAAATGTTAAAAGCAGGTGGGGATATAGTTTTGGAGTGGTTGGTGCAATTATTTAATAAATGTATGGAAGAGGGTAAGGTACCTAGGGATTGGCAGAGAGCATGCATAGTTCCTTTGTATAAAGGCAAAGGGGATAAAAGAGAGTGCAAAAATTATAGGGGGATAAGTCTGTTGAGTATACCTGGTAAAGTGTATGGTAGAGTTATAATTGAAAGAATTAAGAGTAAGACGGAGAATAGGATAGCAGATGAACAAGGAGGCTTTAGGAAAGGTAGGGGGTGTGTGGACCAGGTGTTTACAGTGAAACATATAAGTGAACAGTATTTAGATAAGGCTAAAGAGGTCTTTGTGGCATTTATGGATTTGGAAAAGGCGTATGACAGGGTGGATAGGGGGGCAATGTGGCAGATGTTGCAAGAGTATGGTGTAGGAGGTAGGTTACTGAAAGCAGTGAAGAGTTTTTACGAGGATAGTGAGGCTCAAGTTAGAGTATGTAGGAAAGAGGGAAATTTTTTCCCAGTAAAAGTAGGCCTTAGACAAGGATGTGTGATGTCACCATGGTTGTTTAATATATTTATAGATGGGGTTGTAAGAGAAGAAAATGCGAGGGTCTTGGCAAGAGGCGTGGAGTTAAAAGATAAAGAATCACACACAAAGTGGGAGTTGTCACAGCTGCTCTTTGCTGATGACACTGCTCTTGGGAGATGCTGAAGAGAAGTTGCAGAGATTGGTGGATGAATTTGGTAGGGTGTGCAAAAGAAGAAAATTAAAGGTGAATACAGGAAAGAGTAAGGTTATGAGGATAACAAAAAGATTAGGTGATGAAAGATTGGATATCAGATTGGAAGGAGAGAGTATGGAGGAGGGGAACGTATTCAGATATTTGGGAGTGGACGTGTCAGCGGATGGGTCTATGAAAGATGAGGTGAATCATAGAATTGATGAGGGAAAAAGAGTGAGTGGTGCACTTAGGAGTCTGTGGAGACAAAGAACTTTGTCCTTGGAGGCAAAGAGGGGAATGTATGAGAGTATAGTTTTACCAACGCTCTTATATGGGTGTGAAGCGTGGGTGATGAATGTTGCAGCGAGGAGAAGGCTGGAGGCAGTGGAGATGTCATGTCTGAGGGCAATGTGTGGTGTGAATATAATGCAGAGAATTCGTAGTTTGGAAGTTAGGAGGAGGTGCGGGATTACCAAAACTGTTGTCCAGAGGGCTGAGGAAGGGTTGTTGAGGTGGTTCGGACATGTAGAGAGAATGGAGCGAAACAGAATGACTTCAAGAGTGTATCAGTCTGTAGTGGAAGGAAGGCGGGGTAGGGGTCGGCCTAGGAAAGGTTGGAGGGAGGGGGTAAAGGAGGTTTTGTGTGCGAGGGGCTTCGACTTCCAGCAGGCTTGCGTGAGCGTGTTTGATAGGAGTGAATGGAGACAAATGGTTTTTAATACTTGACGTGCTGCTGGAGTGTGAGCAAAGTAACATTTATGAAGGGATTCAGGGAAACCGGCAGGCCGGACTTGAGTCCTGGAGATGGGAAGTACAGTGCCTGCACTCTGAAGGAGGGGTGTTAATGTTGCAGTTTAAAAACTGTAGTGTAAAGCTCCCTTCTGGCAAGACAGTGATGGAGTGAATGATGGTGAAATTTTTTTCTTTTTCGGGCCACCCTGCCTTGGTGGGAATCGGCCAGTGTGATAATAAAATAAAATAAATAATATATACATATATATACATATATATATATAATTATATATTTATATTTATATGTATATATATATATATATATATATATATATATATATATTATTATATATATATATATATATATATATATATATATATTATATTATATATATATATATATATATATATATATATGAAAAAAGGCAGTCTAATAGATACAGTGAACACTATTATGCTGATGAATTCATGTGCAGACCTTTGTATTTTGGGAAGGTAATTAAGCACAATAATATACCGGCGTTAATGACCTCCCTACTAATGAAACAAAACGCGTTTCTTACTGAAATGTTCTTGAAGATTATAAACGGTTCTGACTTGATTCACAGCATGAATAAAACATGTTAATCCTGGAGTGTTTACCTGGCAATGACGAGGCTGAGAATCAGGCAAATGAGTGGGAAGATCGTGCTCACCAGAGCTACAATAATCACGTAACTGTCCAAGCGCCCACCATCTGCAGAAAGAAGGTGAATTAAGTATAAATATTTTTATGTTTCTCTCTCTCCTCAGCTCCAACAAGTGTATATTTAAGACTTTGAGGAGATCCCAGTATACTTCTGCATCCAGTTGATAATGGATAAATTTTGGTCAGTGGGTGACTTAAACTTGGAGTATACCTGGAGAGGATTTCGGGGACCAACGCCCCTGTGGAGCGGTCTGTGACCAGACCTCGTGGTGGATCAGATCCTGATCAACCAGGCTATTACCGCTGGCCGCACGCAAACTGATGTATGAACCACAACTCGGCTGGTCAGTTACTGACTTTAGGTGTCTGTCCAGCGCCTAAAGTCAGTACCTGACTTTGGGCGCTGTTGAGCTAGGAGTCTATTGGTAATCCCTCTTATGTATGCTGGGAGGCAGTTGAACAGTCTTAGACCCCTGACACTTATTGTGTTGTGTCTCTGAGACAGCAGATTTATCACCAGCTCCAGAAGGTTTACTGAATATGATCAGATGCAACTGCAAGACAAACTGTTATGTGAAAGTACAAGCATAAAAAATAGTTTGGAATGCTTAACAGCATGCACAGAATGCAATGGAGATGGCTATGCAAATTCTTTCTTATCGTCTATGGACATCATACTGGTTACGCCCATAACTCATACATAATGAATACCATGTGCATAGAATCATGAATATTTCTCCACACACTCCCATTAATCACGTTTTTATTAATTCTTTGGAAAAATATATAAGAATACAAAATTATGGTTTGACCATGACATTTTTGGGTTTTCACAAGAATTAGCATTAAAATTTATATCAAAAGAAAAGTATGAGTAATAAAAAGAAAACAAGTATTATACCTATGCATTGTACTTGTCCCTCATTTTTTGATCGACACCATACCCAGCCCTTCTAGGGTAGGGTAGGTGCCCGAGCCCGAGCCTTTAGCTCATAAGACTGTCATACCCATTAGCCTCCTTGGGGCGGGGATGGCAGACCAGAGAGGCCTAGCTTGTGGCTAGGCCTGGGGACAGTTGGTCCCAAAGATGAGGAGGTACTTGTGCCTCCTCCCATGGGAGACTTAGGTCTCAGACACTCCCTAAAGAGGGAGCCAAGGCCGGGCCACCACTTGGAAAAGCCCCGGGCCGGGAGAATACCGGCGAATCTTTAATAATAATAATAATTCCTCATTTTTTCCTTTTACTTACAAATAACAGTATAAAAAATAAATTAGTTTGTAAATATTTTCTAGGTTGATTTATTTTTCCTGTTTAGGTTGACTCAACTAGCAAATGAATGGAAGACACACCAGAAAAGTTAATAAATTGTACTCAGATACAAGGTATTTTCTTCTATTAATGAAGATTCCAGGCTGGGAATTAGCTCCGTAAAGTGGATGAATACTGCATCGTGAGGTATGTGGCTGGAATGTGTACGGAGCCAGTCTCATTCCGACGGCCAGCTGAATAAACCAAATAATGCATGTAAGTGGTGCTGTTGGGAGATGGAATGTCAAATTTTACTTTAAATATTACTTACAACATTGATATTCTAAATAAAACCACGTTATGAGCCGCAAACGTTTATTCTAGACGTTTTGCTTATGACCTTATTTAGTCTTGATAAGGTTAAATTCTGAGCTAAACATCGTCTACAGTAATCTTGCTCTGGATTTTGTGTCCTTATTCCTGCTTGTCACCTTACCCCAGTCATCCCTACCTCGTCTTGAATTTATAAAATTAATCTTGATTTTTGAAATAGCCTTGTTGACCATTTCAAATACTTTGTTAAATCCTTATGTAATAGGGCAAACATAAGCCTCGAAATGTCAAGAAAATTTCTTAATTTGGGTTTTATTTATGTGATAACTCATTTTGTGAAGCCTTTCGTGGATTCAAAAGCGTTCTGTCGACAGTCTTGAATAACAGGAAAAGCCACCACAGGCAAGTTTTGGTTATGTTGTTTCTCTTTGGACAAGATAAATCTTTGTCCTTATGTCTTTTCTTCAGTCAGGAGCTTTTGGTTAGTAAGTTTATATAGGTAAAGATCCATATAAGTACAATTATCATACATAGTAACATGTGTGTAAATTATGTAGGATAACCCAAAAAAGTCTGACAGAGTGACTTATTTCCATTGGGTCCTTTGTAAATATCTTACACAATCGAGCCCCTTCCACTGGCTTTCCAGTCCTGCTTGTCAAAAATTAAAGCTCACATGCGATATGATGGCAGGATTGCCTGTCAATATTAAAAGGAACACGACAGTAGTGTTCTATATCTTCGCAAGCTTTCATATTTCATGGTACGTTCGTCCTCATTCCAGCCTTGTACCATCATAATCTCTTCAATTTGAGTTAAGAACGAATTCTGCCTGAGAAATCACACTTGCTCCATCATGACATTTATCTATCTCGGTCTCATATTTTCTCTCTCACAATATATGCTCTAGCTTTTTCTCTGTTTCTTACTCTCTTCCAGAATGTAATCTCCGCCTTTCTCCCCCTCTCTCTGTTTCACAAGATAATCTTTCCCTGTCTCTATCACCTCTCTCCCTCTCTTATTTTATAATCCTCAACCCTCTTTCTTTAGCTTCTTTCTTCTCAGCTCTCTCTCATTTAGAGCTTCAGCTGCAACTCGTCTGTTTCCCTTCACTTTCATTCTTTTTAAGCTTGCTCGCTAGCTCGCTCTGTCTGTCTGTGTGTCTGTCTCTCACTCCCACTTTCTCCATTCATATTTTCTCCAATATAAAAGTCGCATCCATCTTTACCTTTTCACTCCTGTCTCTCGTCCCAGGTCTAATTTTCCTTCTGCTTTCTCTCTCCTCTGAAGAATATTGGCAGACTGAGGCTCGCTAATTGAATGTGTCTCTATATCCTACTTCTTTCCTACTCTGATCTCAACACAATACGTATTGGCCACCTCTTCTATGTTCATGGGGAATCACCAAACCAGTAGTGATCACAAAACCCCTGTGGATAGATCCAGTTCCCTGGATTATAAACCCTTCACCAGTATTAAGGCTCCCCTACAGTACACTTACAAATAGTGCCCATTTAAGGCATCATAAAACCAATTTGTATAGCTTTCATATCTGTAAACAGTGGGACTACAGTGTTTGATTATATATATATATATATATTTATTATATATATATATATATATATATATTATATATATATATATATATATATATATTAATCGGGGAAAATTAAATTACACCACGTTGAAAAATAGCAGGTAAGGCCTCGCTAGTCCAAGACCTGGCCACAATTAACGGGTAAAGGATTGAGCCTCTGAATTACGTATTTAGAGTTAGTGGTTCATGAGGCCCAACACTAGAAATAGCTAGAATATCAAGTCATTATGAATGCTTTAATATTAGCTTTCCTTGAATTATTTAGTCTCCCAGCCACATACCTTTGTATGAACAAATTACCTCCTGGTCAGGACCTCTTTTTAAATTATGGATTTTTAAAAGAGATATTTATATTTATGACGCTAATTAAAGTAAACGTTTCGACGCTTATTAAACGTTTCGCCATGGCTGGCGTTTTCATTAAAACTGGAGAAGCTCCTCGTAGTGAAAAATTTGTTTTAATAATTGTAATAATTTTACTGACATGTTTTCTATAAGACCTTGGTATAATAATATATTTGTATAGGACACGTTGATACTTTTCCCTGTACAAATATTTAATAATGGAGGACTGATAATAAAGCTGATATTGTTGGAGTTGAGAGTGTCAACAAATGATGATAAATCACACGTACACAGAGCAAGACTTAATACAACGTTTCGCTCAAGGAACAACCTGAAAGAGCTCCCTTTATGTGTCAATAAAAGTTTTCCTGTTCCACTTGTTTTTGTATTACCTAATGAAATAAATACTCAGCTTGAAGGCGGGACTCTACAGGGTGACCCAAAAGTCTGGCCACATAGGAAACATTACTAATATTGTTATTTTCCCCGCAGTTACCGGAGTTACTGCATCGTGTTCAAGTGAATCTTGCAAAGCGCGTTGAACTTTGCATCGCTAATGGTGGACAACACGTTGAAGATATTATTGATTAAAATTACTGTATAATTTTTACAAAAAAAAAAAAATGCAATTTCTGTGTCCAGACTTTTAGGTCACCCCGTAGATGAGGTCAGATAGTGTGTATACTTCAGGGCGTTGTAGATGCCGGAAGTGAAATTTGTGTGATCTGAGTTACAGGTCTATTTACAACAACGAAATAGTTACAGCGCTATCAGGCAGTTCTGAAAGATGTTCAGTGTTTCTTCACGTGGTTCCCATGATTACGTTTTCTATGTCTAATTAATAAACAAGGGAGTGTAGCTTCGCATACAAAACAGCGAGAAAATAGCCAGGACCCTAACTGTTGTGTCCGAGGTAATTACGCCTCTAAATCGCAGTTACGGATAAGGACCCGATGAATCTAGTAGTTAAATGCAAAAAATGTAGTACAGAGTTATACGGAAATAAAATAATTTTAATAGGGAAAAGTTATTCTGGCAATGGTAATACAGCTTTATTTTCTTGAATTAAAAATCCTTCAACTGCCTCATGAAAATCTGAGATACAAAAAACACAGGCAAGTGTGACGAGCATTACTGTTATATTTTTGGGGAAGCGCTTAACCTGATGAGAAATAAAGGTTTTAATATGAGTACGGGATGGATAAAGAATAGTTTCACAATACTATGGCTGAAATATATCATAAATAATCCGCACTTAAGAGAGGAAACTTAAGGTGATATTTCGATCCATCCTGGACCATTGTCAAGTGATGTAGGGAAAGATAGCTCCAAATTCCTGTGATCAGGAGCCCTTGAAGAGCAACTTACCGTCATGTCTGCCGGGGTGGACGTTGCTAGAGTTTCCGGTCTGGACTCCGGGTGGATGAGGTCCGGTTGACTTGGCCTTGTGCTCCTCAACCACAGAACCAATAAATCTTTCAGCCACGGCTCCTCCCATAACCAGCGTCATCATGGTATCTGCAGGAAAGATACCGAGGTATTACTAAGGTACAAGACGAATTTCTCCCCTATTGTACTTACCATCACCTCCGTCACTACATGACAACCAAGTACCTAAGAGTTACTGGGGGTAGATGATAAGCCTCCCCAGTACATCACCTGAGGGAAGGGATCCTAGTGTTACTGAAGTGTGTATATGGGAAAATAAGTTGAAACATAATGTATTGTGTGTGGGAGAATTTGCTTACTATGCAATTGCGTATAAAATAATGGAGGATGGAAACAAATATGCAGTTAATAATCATAATAATAATAAATAATAATAATTAAAAAATAAGGCCATGTATAATAATAGAGTACAATTATATATGTATAGTTAGATTGAAGACCTGTGTGGTGTTTACGAGTTATTTGTTTTATTACCTAAAACAGGGGGAAAAAACAAATTCTCAGTGTATATGAGCACATTCACATTTCTCTGTATATATAACGCCAAAACAAAACAAAAGTATTTTCAGTAATGTAATATACTTATAATATTGTTCTTACCATTTATTAAAAATGTTAAAAAATAAGTATGTATAATTGCAGTTATTAGCATAGTTTACATATAACTATTATACTATCCTTATAATACCAGAAGAATATTAGTGGATACAAAACGTGCATTAATATACACGGGTTATACTCACTAAGAAGTGTATATCTGTGTATATATACACAGGCTTATATATCAGTGTATAAATACTGAGGTGTGTATCGCGGTGTATCTATTGTGTACATATGTGAATATACGTTGAGGTGTACATCTCTCATCGTATATATTATTGACAGTGGGTATTAATAGATATAAAGGTGGAAGTGTACTGCAGTAAAAGGACCGTCTTTAAAAAAAAGATAAAAAAAAAAAAAAAAAAACAGAAGATTTAGGGGTAACATCTTTAGTCTATGTATTGACCTGTGAGAATTCGCTGACCAAATGTTTTCAAAACGCGAGAATTTCAACCATTATTCTGTTGAACCCAGGCACATACATCATAGAAAACACGTTGGCAGAACTAGCTTAAATTGGGAATATATTTTGCTGTGTAGAGTTTCAGTGTCGACAAGTTGATATCCAGGTGCTGTACGCGTCTTATTCGTGTACACAGGGTGAAACAATGCCCCAGTAAACGTTGGTTTTGCAATGCATGTGTTTTCTTAGCTATTGTCGCCGGTGCTATATCATAGACCATCTTAATAAACGTAGTGACCCTCGCCATGATTTATAGATGTTGACCAAGTCTTTACTACCCTCCGCTAACAAGGCTCCATACTACAAACGACCTGCAGTAAGTCTCTCTAACTGCCAACTGCTAACTGCCAGAGGGATTATTATTCTATTCCCGGAAAGTGTTAAATCCGCAAGGGTTATTCAGCGCTGCATGACAAAGAGGTGGGGAGGGAGGGGTGCTTGTAAAGCAAAGGGGCGGGGACTGTGTAGTGAGGGATTGGCTGAAAGACAAGGGGTGACTACATGATACAGGGCTGGCGGCCCGAAAAGGAATGGATTCATGGCAAAAGGGAGGCTACATGGCAAAGGAGTAACTGCGTAACAAAGGGGCTACTTGGGCAGGAAAGGGGATATTTACACAACAGAGGGCTGCCCGACTAGCAGACTGATAGCTTCATGGCAGGGGGCTGCCTGACTAGCAGACTGATAGCTTCATGGCAGAGGGCTGCCTGACTAGCAGACTGATAGCTTCATGGCAGGGGGCTGCCTGACTAGCAGACTGATAGCTTCATGGCAGAGGGCTGCCTGACTAGCAGACTGACAGCTTCATGGCAGAGGGCTGCCTGACTAGCAGACTGACAGCTTCATGGCAGAGGGCTGCCTGACTAGCAGACTGACAGCTTCATGGCAGAGGGCTGGCGAAAAATAAATGGAAGGAAATTATTTTGAAAATTTACAGATTACTGGGACCAATAAATCATTCAACGCTTCAGTAAACAAAAAATGCGCATACACGCTCGCGAACACACACACACCCAGACACACACCCACATATAATATATATACATATATATGTATATACATATATATATATATATACATACATATATACATATATATATACATATATATATATGGGGTGGTAGGGGAAGTGGAATATTCAAATGGCTTCAGGAAGAAATCCAAATATTCTTCCTTGAAGCCTTTTTATTCCACTTCTCCGAGGCTATGGGTCCCACAATTTACACCAGAGGTGGACCACCTATCTACATATATATACATCTAATATACATACTATTTATATACATACATATATATACATATATAATATATATCATATATATTAACATAATACACATATATAATACTTAATTATATATTATTACATTATATAATAATATTATACATTATATACATAATATATACATATATAATATATATGATATATATAATATAATATATATATATATATAGATCATTAATATATATTACATATATAATATGTATATATATATAGTATATATA